ACCTTACAGCAATAATCCTGTCATGTTAAAGAGAACAATCAATTCTATTTTGTTAACTTCGATGGTAAGTTCAGTTCCTTGAGATAAAGAGTGTGTCTTGTATTTTCACCCCGGGGGGGGGGGACAGTGTGCCTTGTATAGGCAGTTCAAATCTCTCCAATTCAGTGATTTGATAGGAAATAAAATACTGATCCTAATAAGGATAAGATGCTGTGTGCCTATAATAGCTAAACTCTAGAATTCTAATCACCAGTAAATTCTTCAGTTACATGTGGCCATTCACTCAAATTTTAACACCATAAATTGATTTAATAGTCATAATCATCTTCTCCTCAAATACATCTACCATGTAACTATGAACTTGAAAGTTGTGACAGGTTGTTCGATGACTTGATTTTCATATGTATAAAATGTCTGGCCAAAAAAAAAAAATGTATAGAACGAAACAATAGTCTTGAAACTGTCAGCTAAGGAGTTTTCTTAACAAAAGTTCAACTGTGTCACTCTACTGAAGTATTTGACCACCATTTATGATGATCATGCTTATTATGATACCTTGGTCAACGCTTTTTGGGGAGTTTTGTTTGCCTAATTCACTAATTACAGCTGAATTAAAGCTTCTTATTAGTGGAAAGTTACTTTCTGGGAATACCTTTTTAGCTCTGTAATTGCTTATGCTTAGAATTAGATTTGACAGCTAAATTAATTGACTTTGAATACCCCCCTTATTTGAATTTGTTTCATCAGTTTCTTCTTGATAAAATAGTTGCAGGAAGGTTGACCCCTTGTTTTGAAATTGCAGGACAAAGGGTTATTGGAGAGCCTGTCTCTGGGCTAGTCCTTGATGAATCTTGGCTTTGGCATCCTGACTTCAGACTGCAGCAAGGCAAGTACCTTATTTCCTTTTCTTCTTGTTTCTAGCTGTCATTCTGTTGTTTCCTCCAGTTTAAAAAGCATGAGGATTACTCTTGCTCATGTTTCAGGTATGTCATGAGTCCCCCTATCAGGAAACGAGGACATGAAAAGGCTCTTCAAGGTGCCCTTTCACAGGCATTCTTCAGGTGAAACATTACGAACTTAAGAGAAGCAAACTCGTTTAATTTTGAAAAATTTATCTTTGGCGGCAGTCAAAGGGGTAATTCCCCATTCATTCTCTGTGTCCTGCTGCAAAAGGAAAAAGGAAATGTGCTGTACCCTCTTAGTTTATTGCCGTTTGCTTTCCAAGCACATTGAAGAAAATTAACTGGCTGTTTCCTGTCAGAGTCCTTGGACAGATGGGCTTTATCTGAATTAAAATATGCATCAGTTGAAGATTACCTAACAAATTTTACGATCAAGTTTGAAATTGGATAAAATATGTTCATTATATGCATGCTTGTGTTTTCTGATTGTAAGTATAAGAAGTTAATCTTCAAAATGAAGAATTATATATTCAGTTTCTTCCTAGGCAATCAATTGTTGAAAAATTTAACAGGAATTAGTATGAACAATGTAATGCTATCTGCCACCGAAATGCAGTTCATCCATGTTTGTCCCTATAGAGGTGTTGGGCAAAGAAAATTGACGTGACGTGACATTTGAAAGTATAGCTCAACAGGAAACGTCTGTCGGAAATAATTTACATATTGCAATCACTTCATCTTATTCGCATATAAAGATTCCTCATAGGTCCCGGATCACTTCATCTTCTTTGGCAAATGGTTGTTTGTCACTGTTGAAGCTCACTTTTCTATAATTATCTTTCCGCCTTGCATTTGCATATTTTCCTGCACAAGATATCACCTTGCATTTATTCATCCCATATTTTCTTCTCCCTCTCTTTTCAACAATAATACTTGTAGCTTCATATATATTGAGTTACACTGATCATTTAAAAGTAAGGGTTCCGTGAAGTTCTTATTAGATGGTAACCTCATTCATCAGTTACACCGTTACAATTCTAATTACATTTTTTTAATTAGCTATGCCTTGTCAGAATTATTTTCTCCTTCCATGTGTCCTTATTTGACCGTTGGATGCCTCTTACAATTCGCAGCTTGTAGGAACTGATCATTGTGCCTTTAATTCTACCCAAAAGGCATTTGGAATTGATGATTTCCGTAAAATTCCTAATGGTGTCAATGGTAATCGCATGATGATCCTGGAAACTTTTTAAATTGTTTCATCGTTCTGAGTATATCTCCTGGTTGATGTGAAATGTTTTTACCCAATATTTACTGCAAATGAAAAACTGTAGGTATTGAAGAAAGGATGCATTTGGTATGGGATACAATGGTGGTAAGCCCTAAGCATAATTATTTCCAGCTTGACTGCTCCGTTGCACGGCTAATTCAGTTAAGGAGGAACAAAAACCTTTTGACCAGAATTTTTGTTTTATATATATCTTACAGGAATCTGGCAAAATATCTGTTACTGACTATGTTCGGTTGACAAGCACTGAATGGTATTCTTTTTAAGTCCTTCATTTTCTTTCCATTTTACGCTTCAGCTTAAAGCTTGGCATCCAGTAAGATAGGGAACTCAAAACACTCATATCTTACTTCCATATTTTAATTTGATGAAGCTCCTAAATTGCATTTTTTATTACTTGTACAATGGTTTTAGTGCTAGAATCTTCAATGTGTACCCGAGGAAAGGGGCCATCCTTGCAGGATCTGATGCAGATATTATCATACTCAATCCAAATGCAAGCTTTGAGATTACTGCAAAATCCCACCACTCCAGATTAGACGCGAATGTCTTTGAGGGAAAGAGAGGAAAGGTACTTGGTTTTAGTATACTCCATCCATGCATTTTAAAGTAATTTACTATTTATGGTGATAATATGGATTATATGATTTATATTGTTGGCCATACATAAGTTCTTTAGAGTTTTGCCATGGCATGAAGATAGTTAGAGTAAAAGCCCAGGGCAACACCGAGCCCAAGTTATCAACCCCAGAATTGTAGTCTTACAATGCTGGTATTTATCTTGTCATTATTCATAGGTATTCCAATGATCATTTTTTCAGTTGGCCATTTTCATTCTTTGTCATGCTTGGTTCAAAACAAGAAACATTAAAAAAAAAGGATTTGAACGGGTCAGAGATTAACAAGCTAGTTTAGTAATTGTTGGTGTCCTTAGGCTCCAAGCCATTGCTCATGTTTGGATTGATTATCATTGAACCTGTGTTATGCATTGTGGAGGTTCAAAGTTTGGTTTCTTTTTCCTCAGGGTAAAGTTGAAGTGACCATAGCTGGAGGAAGAATTGTTTGGCAAAATAATGAACTGAAGGTTGCTCCTGGTACTGGTAGATACATCAAAATGCCACCTTTTAGTTACCTGTATGACGGAACTGACAAGCTCGATGCTAGATATCTCTCTTCACTTCAAGCCCCGGTGAATCGAGCTAAATCTGCTTCATAAAGTCCCTTGGCATTCTGAAATTTCAACGTGAGCTGGGGAAAACTGAGGTATCCTATTGTATATATCAGTTCAAAACTTCAAATAAAGGATATGTCTAGGTCCGTGTACTACACTAGATATCATCAGTTATCACTATTTGTGCATATGGGTTCATTATAAGAAGTATGTCAAAAACCTTGGGTTGTTGTTATACAATAAAATCTTTCAGAACTCTACTTTTTTATGAGTTAGTATAATATACGTCTCATAATCTATGCCGTGCATGAAAAAAATTATGCATATATACAGCACAAACAAAATATATAGCTACTAACACCAGCAGGTTGAGTCTGCCAGAAGGTGATAGTTCCCCACAATATGACTAATCAAACATTTGAATTGTCGCTGGAAGATGTACTTTAACCTGACTATTTCGGACATGCCTCAAATATGAGTATATCTATTCTCAATTTTTTTTTTGAAAAAATATAGAACATATAGCTTCTGGCGCAGTTTTTATGATATGGTCCAATTGTAATTTGCAATCTACATATTATAGACTTACTGGGGTTTAGTAGCAAGACAATGGTACCATGAAACTCGACCAATGGTTTGATTCCTTAATCATATTACGGCAACCAATATCAGAACCATTTGGTTAAAAAGAATAAAATTACAAATCAAATAAATATAATTTTACGAATAGACAACTTTATTTTTAATCAAATATAAAAAAAGAGATAAATATTGTAGAATACTAGTAAACATTAGACCACTGTGCAAAGGAACTATTTTTTGTCTTCTCATCAAGTGCGATTAATAAAAGAAGTCAGTCCTAAGTAATGTTATCAATTAAAATTAGTGCCTGGGGAATTATAATTATAATATAACTAATATTTAATGAGGATTAAATTTACTCGTTGCTAGTTTAATATTATCACGTGAAATTTATAAGAAAGTCATGCTCCCTCTTTTTCATTTTTTTGTAAGAAGACAATTTATTAAAAACCAAGTAAAACCATACACAAACATTACTTATTCCCTCTTAACTCTAATGTAAAAGCATGTAAAAGTTAGATAATTAATAAAAAAATTAATTAATTCAATCATTTATAAATAATGCATATCAATTTCCTCGAAACACCCAAACACTATTTGCATTGAAATTCTGCTAAAAAAATATTTGCATTGAAATTACCTACCTGATCAATGAAGTAATTGTGCAACTGCTAGGTCGTTGCTAGGAAGTAATGTGCTGAATGGCTCAACTACAGTGAGAAGTGAACTAGAGCTGCTGCGTCGTCGTCCAGATGTAGTGTTAAATGAGCAAGTGCTGCCGCACTCTATTGAATGTAGGCAGCTAAAGAAGTTAGTTCATGAGAACCAAATCAGATTTGGCACTTGGAATCTTGAAACTTTGAATGCAAAATTTATGGAGGTAGTAGGAGTTATAAGGGATAAAAGGATTAACATCTTGTGCCTCCAAGAAACTAAATGGGATGGAGAAGTTTCCACGGAATTTCTATGCAAGGAATGATGTGGGTATCATCATTGATAGAACATGGAAGAAGCATGTGGTAGAGATTAAAAGGTTTGAGGACAGAATTATATCTTTAAGCTTAATTGTTGGAAAGGACAATATCAATATCATTAGCGTCTATGCACCTCAGGTTAGAGTAGAAGTACATCTTAAAGGTAAGTTTTGGAAAGATTTGAAGGGATTGGTTCAAAGCATACCACTTGCAGGAAATATTTTTATTGGTGGGGATCTTAATGGACATGTGGGCAAGAAAGTAGGACAATTTGCTGGAGCTTATAATGGTCTTGGTTTTGGGGAGCTTAACAATAGAGGATAAACTATTCTTGACTTTGCTCTTATATACAATCTCAATATTGTCAATACTTAGCTTGTTTTAAGAAGCGAGAGGAACATTTGATCACATACAAGAGTGGAGCCTCTAAATCACAGATTGATTTCTTTTTGGCTAAGAATCCAGACAGAAGGCTTTGTACTAATTGCAAAGTGATCCCTGTGGAGGGATTGACTGCCCAACGTAGGGTACTTATCTTTGATGTGCTTTTTAAGAGTATCAGACAAAAGTATCATCAATTGGTAAACCCTTGGATCAGGTGGTAGCAGTTAGAGGGTGAGAAGCGGGAGTTTTTCAAAAGGACCTTTTTGGAGGAGGTATTTGGGAGTTATGGGGAAACACTAACATTATGTGGGAGGAGATGGCTGAGAGAGTTTGTATGGTTGCTAAAGCAATTTTGGGAGAATCCAAAGGTCATGGTCAGAGAGATAAGGAGACTTGGTGGTGGGATAAAAGCCTACAAGAGAAAGTTAGACAGAAAATAGATTGTTTTAAGGCTATACATTTGTGTAATAGTGAAGAAAACTAGGAAAAAGTATTATTTAGCTAAAAAAAAGATGAAGAGAGCAGTGAACAAGGCATGTGCTAAAGCATATGAGGAGTTTTATAAGGAGTTAGGAATAAAGACGGGGGAAAGAAATATTTACAAGATTGTGAAGCAAAAGGAGAGGAAAAAAAAATTTCGGACCAAGTAAGGTATATAAAGGATGAAAAAAGTAAAGTTTTAGTTACTGATAGAGATATTTTGGATAGATGTGAGGCTTCTTTTTATAAGTTGTTCAATAAGGGAAGTGAATATGCCACTCAGAACTTAGATGACTTGATAATTAGCAAAGATGATTGGAATTTGGCTTTTACCGCAAGATCTACATTGGAGAGGTTAAGACAGCTCTTAAGAAAATAAATAATAGTAAAGCCGTTGTACCTGATCGTATTCCTATTGAAGTTTTGAAATATTTAGGCGAGGAGGGTGAAAGGTGGTTAACCAAAATTTTTAATGAAATTTTAACTTTAAGAATATGCTGGATAAATGGAGAAAAAACACTTTAGTTCCTATTTACAAAAATAAAGGAGATATTTAAAATTGTGCTAGCTACAGGAGATAAAACTTATGAGTCATATGATGAAGTTGTGGAAAAAAGTGATTAAACATAAGTTGAAGTTGGAGACTTCCATTTCAGAGAACCAATTTGGATTTATGCTGGGGAGATCCATAATAAAAGAAATTTACTTATTAAGGGGGGTTAATGGAAAGATATAGGAGTAAATAAATGGATTTATATATGGTTTTTATTGACTTGAAAAAAGCTTATGATCGTATGCTAAGAGAAGTACTTTGGAAGGCTTTGGAAAAAAATATATACGGGTTGCTTATATCAAAACCATACAAGATATGTATAAGGGGGTAACTACTAGTGTAAGAATACCTAAAGGTAAGACAAAGAACTTTTCTATATATTAAGATTAGCCTAAATCAGGGATCTTCTTTGAGTCTTTACTTGTTTAATATTGTGCTAGACATTCTAACTGAGCTTGTTCAAGAAAAAATCCTTAAGTGCATGCTTTTTGCGAATGACATAGTCCTCATTGCTATATCAAAAAAAAAGATTAACTCTACTTTGGAGTTATAGAGAACGACCTTGTAGTCAAAATGTTTTCGCTTAAGTAGGAGCAAGGCAGAATATATGCATTGCAATTTTGTGGGGAGACAAGGCAATAGTGATTTGAAGGTGAAGATAGGAGATCAAATCATTCCTCAAGTGTCAAAGTTCAAATATCTAGGATCCATTATACATAAGGATGGTGAAATTGATAGTGATGTTTCGCATAGAATACAAGTTGGTTGGTTGAAGTGGAAGAAGGCTACGGGAGTTATTTGCTATAAGAAGATACCTGACAAGTTTAAGAAAAAATTTTATCAGACTGCTATGAGACTAGTTATGTTGTATGGTAGTGAATGTTGGGCGATAAAGGAAAAACAAGAGCATAAAGTGAGGGTAGCAGAAATGAGGATGTTGAGATGAATATGTATTCATACAAGAAAAGATAAGGTTCGAAATGAAATTATCAGAGTAAGAGTATGTGTGGCCTTGATCGAAGAAAAAACAGTTGAACATCGCTTGAGGTGGTTCTAACGTGTGTAGAGAAGGCCATTAGAGGCACCAGTGAGAAGGATAGATTAGACTATTTGAAGTCCTGTAAAAAGGAGCAGAGGAAGGCCGAGAATTAGAATGCTCAACGAGGTCATTAAATAGGACCTCCTGGTCAACACCATATCTAAGAATTTAGTTGTTGATAGAACACATTGGCATTGTGCGATTCACGTAGCCGACCCCACCTAGTGGGATAAAACTTCTTGTTGTTGTTGTTGTTGAAATTACCCACCTTTGTTGACGAAACCCCTTTTTTTATTAGTACAACCTTCTGTCTATGATATAAGAGTTAGCTAATTAATTTGAGTAGATTAAAAAAGCTTGTTAAATTGGTTATTTATAATAAATAAGTATTATTTTTCTAAAATATCTTTATTTATTACTTGTATTTACTAGAACTACCATTTGATTAGAAATTTAACATTTACAACTATTACAAGAACTATTTTTAAAAAAAATAAATAAATGAGAGAAAAAATGGATTGAGTTCGTATATTTAGGATCAAATTATATATCAAACTAGCTCTTATATTAATAACAAGAGGTAATATATAAAATTTGAGAGGAAAGATAGAGTAAATTGAGATCACCAAAATAAACCTCCCATATTTAATACTCCTACCATAAAGAAAGTATGTTTTTTGTCATTAACATAAAGAAAATTTTTTTTGTCATTAATATAAGTCATGTCATTGAATTTATTATATGAATAACAATTTTAATCTTAATTTTTTATTCTGTATATTGCTATTTTTTAGAAAGTATATATATCAAATAAGAGAGAGTTGAAAATAATATATTGGGAGCGATTATAAACAATATCAGAAGAATAATTTACAAAACTGTTACTCCATACAATATATAAAAATAAATAAATTTAAATTACTAAAATTTGACATAAAGAGTTTATAATTGTAGACTGTTATAAAGTAATTTTCTCTATTGTTCCCCTTTTAACAGCACTCTTCATAATTTATCCCGTTGCAACTTCATTATCTCAGCTGTTCATGTTTATGTGGGTGATGATGCTTAAAAATAATTAATTACTCCACCCATTCCTGTGTATAAGATTATACTTTTTTAAATGGGTATGTATTTTTATAAGCTGCACTTTAAAAATATCTAAATATTTAGGTTATGCTATGCGAGGAGAGAATACTTCCAAAAAAAAGTAAAACATTTTACCATTTTGGAGAGTTTTCCTCTTAATATTCTTTCATCTCTAATTTTTTCTTATCCAAACAAAGGGTTGATGTATTTTTTTTTTAATCTTTATCGTAAATTAATTACATGTCTTTCTTTTTTTCTTTTTTCACTCGATCTCTTTCGTCTCTTTTTCTGTTCATTTTTTCTCTCACCCTCCTTTTCCGTAAATAAAGATATTTTTAAAAAATTTAAATTACATTTTCGTCAACCAGCTTGTATTTTGATCATTGATCTATCCTTCTAGAATAAAATTTTTTTGGGACCGCATTATTGCTTCTCCTTCCGATCCAAAAACAGTAGTAGTATTAATTAATTTAGCACGTTTCTTCCCTTTCTTTTGAACCATCCTTCTAGAATTTTTAAAAAAAATTCTTGCTATTTTATCTCTATTTTTAAAATTTCAAGACAACATTATTTATTGATTGCTATTTTTAAATCATGCCCGTGTATTCACCTGCCAACTAAATTTCAAAATCCAAAGACCCATTAACTATACATAAAAAACAAATTAAAAGAGCATATTAAACATAAGAACATAAACTAATTTTCTTATATTATAATCTACCTAAATTATAAATCAAAATCATCTAAGAGCCGAGCCATATTATCACTATCAATCCACGGCTTCTCTCTCAAATCACTGTGCTATGATCAGTGATGGCTAATTGAACAGTACCGGCTAATTGTCTATGACGGCGTGCAATTCATTGTTCCCAAAAAGTTTTAAAAAATCACACGTGTGCATGGTAATTATTGGTCATTATATGAGCCAGTTTATTTGTAAGGGTGCTATATAATGTTTTGGTTTGGTTACATGGATCATTAAAATTTGCAAAAGGCGAAAGTTTCACTTGAGGTACTTTTTTTTTTTTTTTTGGTTCCTCTATAGTCTATACTATTCATCCTTTGTGTGCATGTCCGTCCTTTTGTTACATTCATTGTCGGTAGATTGAACTTTGACGCAGTTTGGTGGTTTTTTTCTCTGTAGTAGGTAGAAGGAATTGAATGGTGTATTGTGTATTTATATCGTTGCAGTTATTGTCTTCCATGCGTCCTCTGTTTCGAGTGTTTCACATTATCTGAGTTGTGTCAGGAAGTTGCTTTCTTTTTCGGTAAGATTTCTGCATTCAACGATCGGTGCTGCATGATGGTTGAAGAATATGAGAGGCTCGACTCTGTCTATCCTCCGGTTGAGGTTTGGAGAGTCATCGTTAGGTTGGACAGGGTATTTATGCGAATTGATTTTGATGTTTATGACAGGGACCGTGGCTAACCAAAGAAACTACTCTCTCTGGACGTGGTGGTTTTTTATGAGGAGGTAAGTAATGTCTAGCGTGTTTTACATTTTAATCATACTGCTACCTGGTTACTTTGGTACCATATTCCCGCTCTGCTTTTTTTTTTTTTTTTTTGCTCTGTGGATATATAAAGTTCATGTTATTTGAGGTTGCAAAGAAGTTCGTATGGCTGTTTTTGTAGCAAGAGAAGGATTTCTTGTGAGATCTATGGTAATTCTACTAAAGAGGCCTGGAAAGAGTTTGAGCCTGTGAGGGGGATGACTAAGCTGGTATGTTTTGTTCGGTGAGTTCTTGTAAAAAGGGTGCAAGGTAACGGTCAAATCATATA